GGGTCCAATCCCTGGTCAGGGCACACACAAGAACCAACCAATGAATGCATACAAGAGTGGAAAGCCAAATCTATGTTTCTCTCTCTTTCTCTCTCTCTCTGCCCCCTCCCCAAAAATCAATAAAACAAGACAACAACAAAAAAATATAAGTCTAAATACCAAAAGTAACAAAAAGGAATTACATCTTTAAAAAATGGGATAAGGAGGGATTCTCACCTTTTAAAAACATTTCTAGAGCCACTAAAACAAAGAATTTGATAGAAAGATTCCTCTGGATTGTACAAGAAGGGAGACAGGGACCACTGGTAAGACATGGCATATATTAATCAGACTTGGCTGCTTTCCCTCGCTGGACTGCCTTCATTTTTAGTTTCTCTGCTCTCTGCAGGTAGGTCTTCTTTGGGTTCCTATTTAGCCATGTTGGCCTGTTTTCCCATTGCTCTCCTTTTCTCTTTTATTTGCACTTTTTTTGCCTGCAGATCTATCCTTCCATGCTGCCTTTTTTTGGCTCCGTTGCCACTTTTGCAGGAGCAGGGCTTAGTTGACAACCTTGCCAATCTTCTCTTGGGCTCCTCCTTTGCCACCTCCTTGGTGGAGCAGACCTTCCTCTTGGCATGGTGGCGGCATGGCGGCACATGGACGGCACGTGCCAGGTGCCTGATGGCCTTGGTGCAGCAAGAGCCTTCGTGAGTCTGGGCTGCCTGGCTGCTGCTGCTTCTCCCACCGCCCAAGCTGCTTGGCCACACCACAAGGCATGCCTTTCATGCAGGTTTGTGAGGATTTTTTTCTAGTTGAGGAATAGATACAGATGACCTGCTAGAAGTACCCATAGTTGGCCAATGCTCCACAGATGCCCTCTGTCAACTCCTTCTTCGATGTATATGGGACTTCAGTTTTTCCCTGAGACATCACTGAAGTTAAATATGCATTAGCCACCTAGAGAAACCCAACCTCCCTCATTTTGTAGAAAGGTCACAAAGGATTTGTAACTAGCCCCAAGCCCCGTAGGCTAGAAAAATTTAGTTAATGGGATATAACAACCATCCCAAAACTTAGCAGGTGAGATAGTCCCCTTAAAATGGCTGCAATGAGGCCCTTTTATTTTTATAAATACATGCTTCCCCTCAAACCAAAAGTTTGAGTCTACCTCCTTTCCTCTTAAATCTGGTTTGCCTTGTAACTGCTTTGTCTAATAGAATGAAGTGGATGTTCTAGAACTTCCGAGCTCAGTCCTTAACAAGACTGGCAGTGTTCAGTTCCTCCCTCGAAGCCAGCTGCCAGGTAAGAAGTCTAACTGTCCTGCCGAAAAGACCACATGCTGTAAGGAAGCCCAGGCTAGTGACCTGGAAAGACTGAGGTCATGTGGAGGCAGACTGAGGCCCCTGATGTGTGAGTGAAGACTTCTCAGACCTTCCAGCTCTGATGCCAAGTGAGTGACCCTAGCCAATGCTCAGCTGAGTCCAGTTGACTCAGAAAATCATGAGAAATAGTAAATTGTGGTGGTTTGGCTACTAGTTTTGGGTAGGTTGTTATCCAGCAATAGATCATTGAAGCAGTGACTTAAAACAGTAACAATGTATTGGGTTGGTCAAAGTTTGGTTTTTTCTGTAAGATGGCTTTAGTAAGTGCTTGGTTGTCTTTAACTTCATTCAAAACAATTTTGTTAGATTGTATTGTGACAACTACCATATCAGCATGTGTTAAAAAAAAACTAATCAAAATTGGTGAATTTCTGTGTAGCCATTTTAATATTGAAGATGGAAGAAAATAAGCACCATTTCCAGCATATTATGCTTTATTATTTCAAGAAAGGTAAAAATGCAACTCAAAAGCAAAAAAATATTTGTGCAGTGTATGGAGAAGGTGCTGTGACTGATTGAATGTGTCAAAAGTGGTTTAGAAAGTTTTGTGCTGGAGATTTCTTGCTGGATGTTGCTGCATGGTCAGGTAAACAAGCTGAAGTTTAGAGTGATGAAATTGAGACATTAATTGAGAACGAGCAATGTTATACCATACGGGAGATAGCTGATGTACTCAAAATATCCAAATCAATAAACTTATTGGTGAAAATGAAAAATGTGTCTTTTATTTTATGGAAAAAGCCATACAGGCTTTTTGACCAACCCAGTATTATTTCTAATGAATCTATCAGTTGGGTGGGTGGTTCGGGCGATCTGAACTAAGCCTGGCTGTTCCCACTTGGACTAGCTTGTGCTTCTGCAATAACTGAGGGCTGTCCGGTCAGGGTGGCCTCAGCTTCGATGACTCAGCTCCGCTCCACAGGGTCTTTCATCCTTCAGTGGGCTTGTTCTCAGAGTGATGGCAGGATTCTAAGAACAGAAGCAGAAATGTACAAACTTTTGTTTTTAAATGGACTTTCTGTTTTACAAAGCTTTATATTTACAACAGAGCACAGAGAGAGACGGGGCTACAAAGTCAGAAGGAGATCATTACTTGGCACCATTAATGCTATCAAATCTACTACAAGAAATCTATGTGTATTCCTTATAGGGAGTATTAAATAGCATTATTATGATTTTGGACTAAGATCTGGAAAAATTGAAGAAATTATACTTGAAATAAAGTAAAACAATTAGATGAGCAATTTTTGATTTTTAAATGTTTCCAGATTTTTCTGGCCAAGTCATTGTTGCTAGTGATATTGATCTTGGTTTACTTCCAATAGAGGGTGACTTTCCCAAATTCTTGTTGATAAGTTTGTAGAGAATCTGGAAGAAATATCAGGTTTTGCACTGTGTGGGCCCTTGTTCCATTAATTAATTCATTTGCAGTAATGATGATCTTAAGGCTTTTGGTAGAGTTGTTTAGAATCCTGTTTAATAGAGTTAGTTCTCTAACTAGCCAGTGGTCAGTCTGCTTTGTGGCTTCTCTCTGGAAACCGAAGGCTGTTGGCATTTGTGCTTTATAGAAAGGAATCACTCAGGCTCTTAATGGGAAAGGCGGGCTGTATGTACACATGTATGTGTGCATTCATACGTAATGTGTGTGATCACCTGTGATCCACTACGATTTCAACTCTACCTGTGTTCACTTCTCCTGCATTTCCAGGAAATATTAAGAACTGACTTTGCATTTCGACTTATCACTACCTCTCTGGGGAGCAGATTCATTTTCCTCTCCTGGGATTTGAAAGCAGGTAGTTGAGGTGCAGAGAAGGGGAGACAGGGATTACCATTCCCGGAACCCAGCCTGCCTGCTCCGTACAGCAGTGTGCTGCTGCCCCCTACACGGTGATGCACGCCAGGCAGATAAAGGTTCCTTTGATCTGTTCCTCTTTCTTCCACGGCCCCCTCTATCGACCCCAAATTGAACTTTGTTAATCCAGTGTTTGTTATTTCCTGCTCAGGAATTGGGAGTCAAGGAACCTGTGCTCTGGCCCTTGAATCACTTATGATCTTTGGGTGTTCCTTTTCTCTTCTGTACAATGAGCAACCTGGACTAGACGTATGTGTCTGCTCTAGCTCTGAGGATTTCGAGTGCCAGTATAAAACCAGACACGAATTATAGGGTCCCAAACGAGCGATGCCCTAAAACCTCAGCTACATCTGGAAGAAGTCTAAGAATAGAGTTATTTGTGTTACCAAGGAATTATTGCGCTCCTTTCTGAGCCGATAATAAACCGTAACAAACTTCCCCAGGGTGGAGGAGTGGGAGGTACAAAAAGATTTCAGAACTGAAAAGAAGCGTTTTCAGAAAGTTATGTTGGCTCACCTAGCCAGCGATATTTGAGGATAAGGACCATGAATTGTTCGTTTTCCTCGGACAGAATGTATCCCACGTTTTCTATCAGTGTATTTTTGTTTGTTTGCTTAAACAAGGGTAAGGTGGGTGGAAGTAATGAGGGTGAGAAATACCACCTGCTTTGATTCATCTGCGAGATCCGCTCCGTTTTCGGTTCCTATTTAGTAAATTCAGATATAGCTTCCATAACAGTATCTCTCTCCCCACTAAAGAGAGTCCTTTAGATCTGCTCCTGCCCCTTCTGTTATTAGGCTGACAGCAGGTGAGAGCACAAGTGCCCCACGCCCACTCAGCGCTCTCGGTCGGATTTGGTCCCCACCCCCCATCCCAGCCCATTGGCGCTTTACGTCCCTCCAGCCTTCTCTCTGCGAGGACCCCATCGCCAATCCTTCCCTACCTGTTAGGTAGGTCTTATTTCCTGGGAACCCTTGCTGTCCTTAGGAGAGGCACCGCCGCCTTGGAATCCTAGCCTGTCCCTTCCTGGTCGAGGGAGCACCAGTACTTCAGTGCGGGATTTGCCGCAAGCAGAGTCCAGCGGGCAGGTGACCAGGCGTTGCAGAGTTCAACGGCCTGAGGATGGGGGGAGCCCTATCCCAAACACAGCCCTGTTTAGCTGGGACGCAGGATTTTGAGAACAGCCGGGAAGCTCCTGGATAGTTCCGGAGCCTTGTAGGAATCGGCCCGCCCCGCCCCTGCTCTCCGTCCTGGACACCCGACCGCGAGACAGAGAGCCGTGTCCATGTGCATCCACTGGGGCGTCCAGTCTGTTTTCAGCCGAGGCTCCCGCCGCCGCAGCTGCAAAACGGACTGGCTTCCTTGCAGGGCGTGCGGGATAGAACAAGGGGGTGGAGAAAAAAGGGGAAGAGCTTGGGCGGCCGGCGGGCGGGGCCTGCAGCCTCCCCGAGCCGTGGCAGTCACCGTGCAGTCCGCTCTTTCTGCGCCTCTCTCCGACTCGGGCGCGTACTGCGCCGGGACCCGCGCCCCAACCGGGGGGCGCCGCTGCTCCTTGGCTCCCGGCCTGCCATAGCGCGGCCGCGAGGCTGCGCGGGCAGTGGAGCTGTTTCTAGACGCTGAGGCTTTGGTGGCCGTTCACTGCTCAGTCTGACCGAAGGACTGGCGGGGAAGGAAGGGGAAAGCGGGGACACACATACTCGCCGCGGCGCGCGCGCATTGCACACTAGCAGCGGCGCGCCCCCGCCGAAGCGCGTCCGGCGCAGTTTGGCCCCGAGGCTCGGGCCCCGGCACCTGCCGGCTCTCAGCTCTGCGCCCGGGCCCCGCCCCCGGCCAGCCGACCCTCCTGCGCCTGGCTTGCACTGCTCTCTCTTCGCTGTGGGGAAGCAACAGCACCCCGATAACTTGCAGACTGTGGCGCAACTGGTCTCAACAGCGGAGGCGCCCGAATGCTGCCCGAGTGAGGTAAGTTTCCTGCGCGTCCCCGGCCCCTCCTCCCTAGACCCTCCTTCTGGGCTCGGGCTTAGGGACTCTGTGTCTCCGATGACTCTTGGCGGTCTCTTCACGCTCCCTGTGTCCGCTTTGTGCTGGGGGTAGGCGAAAGGGGGTGCGCATGGCTACCGAAGCGGGACATTCATTCCGCGGGGGCCACAGCTGCGCGCTCCCCGTCGTCGCCCACCCGCTCGCCACTCCGATCCCGGGGCCGTGGCGACACTCGGGGATCGTTCTGGGTTCACTTAAGCAGGAGCTCCGTCCTTTTTTCGAGGGAACGCGCTCAATTTGTCAGTATCAGGAGAGATCTCCCACCACCCTCCCCCAGTATTAATCAGCGGCGAACTTGTTAGGCGCCCCTGGGATCTCATGAGGGGCTTTCAAGTCGGTGTTCTGGTCATTTCTGGTGCTGGAGCCGGACTGAACAGGTGCGGTATGGTTCCAGCCTAAACGCTACAACAGACTTAACGCGTTTCCTCCGCTTCTCCTCCAGCCCCGTCAGCGTGACGCTTGAACAGCTGGGGCGGGGTCGGGGTCGGGGGGAGTGTGGGGGCAACGGAGAGAGAATGACAGGGTTTGGTTTGTCAGGCCAGAGCCAGGAGTCGCCAAAACAGAAGTCAACAAAAGTCTGCTTATCGCTCATCTATGCAGATAAGCCTGTTGTCCTTTCGTTTGCCCCCTCCCCTGGTTTACTTATCTCACAGGGCTCTGCGTGGTTGGGTAGAAGCCTGTTACAAAGAAGTTGTTTGGGTAGGCTGATGAATTCTTTCGTCTTGTGTACTGCAATCAGGGCTCTCAACAAGGCAACGCTAGTTACTGTGATGCTTTTTAAAGGCAGAATGTTGCAGACCAAAAATACCACCCCCGCCCCAACACTTTTCTCTGAAATTCTCAGCCTGCTGGAGGCCCTAGCTACAAGGTGAATGACTCTTGAGGGATCGGTTGGGTCTCATACTGTGTTAGTCTTCTGCAAAGGAGAAGCGGTCCCCTCCTCACTATTCCTGAGCAGGGGTTTGGGGAACCCCGGTTGTCCCTCTGGTGAAGATCACACACCCGGGCTTCTCTCTTGTTCTGTGGAAAGGCTGGTGTTCTGCAGCCCAGTGGAGAAAGCAGAAGGGTTTGTTTCATTACCACTCTAATGTGAAGTGGAATAGTATTCATGGAAGCTTTTGTCAGAGTATTTCCAGCTGAAAGGAGGCCCTGGAAAAAAAACCTTTCTCAGACAACTTCATGCCAGTGGGAGGTTGAATAAGCATCACACATGATCTGGGGCTGAGGGAAATGGTGCCTTCTGTATACAGTAATATGAGTGGAGACTTAGGAGGACTGCTGAGAAAGCTGGTAAGTCTGAGACTCATGTATAATGATGTCTTAAGAAGGAAACTATTAAGAGCTGAATGATAAAACCGCATTACACTTTTGTCCAAATTAAGACTAGAAGGATTTAATAACAACACTTTAAATTTCCATTAATGCCTTACTATTTGTAAATGCTTTTCAGCCTTGTCATTTGATTCTGACCACTTCTGAGAGATGCAGAGCAAAGATTGTGAACCACATATTCACAGGGGGGAACACGAGGCTCACAGGGCCAGGATCTTAGCATGGTAACAATGGGCTGGAACTGAAGTCGCAGCGAGGGTCTTTGAAACACCCGTACCACCACCACTGTCACCACCCAGGGCTGGTTCTGTACTTGTCTAACAGTTTTACAATGGCCAGAGCTGCTGCATTTATTTTGTTCTGCACCGTCTTCCTGTGAATTACTGTTCATACTTGACAGATGAGGATCCCGAGGTTTAGACAGGGGATGGGGGTTGTCTGTGGTTTCATGTCTAATCCAGTGGGGTTGACAAGCGTAGAACTCAGAACTCCTGATGCTAGTCCATTGCTTTGTGGATTATACCATTTTATACCATTGTTCCACTTCCGAGGACACATCACAAACACTGCACTGCACTAGGGACTGTTAAGCACGCCTGCTGGTGGCCTGGGTTCTAGTGCTGACACTGTCTTTGCCTGTGTGACCTGGGCCAAATCATATCACCTCTGAGCCTTACATCTCTCATATAAAACGAGGTTTCTATTGAATTACCTTTCTCTTTCTAGTTTTAGCATTCTAGAATGTACATCAGTGTATTTGTAGTCCCATGTTTTAAGTTTCTCTACAGAAAAAAAAAAAAGGCTTTTTACCCTTGTATTAACTAGGGATTTAACTAATTATCTATTTCATGTGTAATTTACTCCTTCCTCCCATTCACCACATACCACTTACCTATGTTTCGCTGGGCATAACGCGCATCCACGTTTTGTGCTCATTATACGGGATAATTATACCCATTGTATGTAATCATTATCCCCATGTATAATGCACATCCTTATTTGTCCCTCAAAAATTTGGGCAATAAGGTGTGCATTATAGATGGTAAAATACAGTAATGAAGGGAAAGGAAATTCCAAGTGTACTTCAGCTCAGCATCTATATTGTTTGGTATTACTATTTGACTTGAAAATATTCTGAGAGGCTGACCTACTCTAAAATACATGTCAGGATTTACTTGAAAATTCCAGACAGTCAACTCAGTACCTGTATTTGTTTATTTTTCAGCTTTGGGGTTTACATACCATAAGGTACTCAGTAAATAGTTGTTGAATGAAGGAGGCGAATCAAATAACTCCTAAGGAAATCACAACCATCTCATTATGTAAATTTCCAACATCTGCTGACCCACAGAATAATTTACCTACAAGAGGTGTGCCTCCTGAAGCTGGCAGGCATATGTGCCCATTGTTGCTCTCCTTCCTGAACACATCATATAAAGAAGAGTTGTTCTTATTCCACATAGACAACAGATTCGTGTAGCCTATGTTACGCTCTTTCACTTGCCTCCCCTCGCTTAGTTGTTAGCAATGTGTAACCCACTGAAAGATATATTACTAGAAATCGACTTGTGCCATTTCATGAAAGAGTGTGTCTTGAGAGGGAGAAACCAACCACCTTTTTTTTTTTTTTTAAGTATATTTCAGCACAAGCTAATACTAGCTCGCGGTTTCAGAGGGGGAACCTAATTAACAAAACCAACCTAGTTTCTGTTCCCTTTAAGAATCCTCTTTTCTTTCTACCTCTTGTTTCTGTATACTGAAAAGTAGTGTTTCTGTGTTTAGAAGAATGATGGTAAAGAATTAGAATGGGTCTTAATTATTAATTAACAGACCCAGCCACTGGGGATTGAGGTGTATTTCTTTCTGATAGAGAATTCAAGTATTAACTAACTAGTTCAGACCCTCGCACCTTTTCTGGGTGAGACAGCGGCAGCTGAAAGAGGTAAAACGGCTTGCTCAAAGTCACACAGATGTTTAGCAGGAGGATCAGAGCTAATGAGGAATTCTTAAGAAGGTTCATAGTCAAGATCATGCCTGGGGTTTTTATGGTGAAGGTGCGTTTTTACTTTTAAGAAGAAAAAGAATTGTCTGTTTTTTATCTATTCACTGTGTTTCTCTTGGCTACATACATCAGCAGATTCAGAATTAATACTTTGCTCCAACTACTGCTTGGAGACAGAAGACTATTTTAATAGATATACAAATGTGTGCTGGTTTTCCAAGCTTATCTTCCTGGTAAATAAAGCCAGAAGCCAAAGGTGGCCCTGTCATACAGCTGGTAAAGTCATAAATATGCATACATTTACTTTTCATTTTGCTTGTACTTCTGTTAAATGGTGAGTCAGAACACTCAATATCCTGGAAAAATAATTTTTGTTCCTATGGCCAGAGCCTTCGTTAGTTACTCTGTAAAACATCAAGTTCTAAATGTATTTGTTGCAGAAACATGTTCTCTTTGTATCAAGTACATTAACTGGAGTTGGAAGGAGTCCTTTTATTTTTGTAGGAGCTGCCCAGTTAGAACTGTACATTATGTAGCTCAGCTGTTCATTAGGAGACTTATCTGGCAGTTCTTCTAAAAGGAAGGCTAATAAGGGAGGAGAGAAACCTAACCTTTTGTTTAGTATTTTTCTTTTAAAAAATAAACTTTAAACTTAACCTATTGATGAAATTTTTGCAGTGTGCTGTATAGTAAACAATTACCTGCTCTTGAAGTGTTTTATTCAGTCATGTTCCTTCCAGTATAAAAGGTTAGGCCAAGGAAAACAGCTTGATTTTGTGATTGCCATTCTCAATTGTATTCACTTCTCCCTGACTTCATCAGAGGCGTAGAAAGGAGATGATGATATAAGAAAACACAAGAATCCTACCCAAACTCGATTATTTTGGGGAATATTTGAAACATAGATAACAATGGAGACGGTGACATGTTTAGTTAGCTGGCAGTGCCTTGGTATGATCATTTTAAGTTAAACCCACATTTGAACAGACAACTACATGAAGTGTCTTTTTGTAGAAGGTCTTCTCTGTTGTTTATGGGGCTGAATAAACAGTGGGTGTGCAGTTTGTTTGGGGGAGTTTACGGAACAGGAAATCAGTGAGATCTTGAGACTTATTTTCTCTACGAGTTTTAAAAAGTCAGTTGTGAAATTGTAATGAAACATAAAGCATTGAGTGGACAGTATTGCTGCCACTAAAAATGGGCGTGTGTGTCTTTCAGTTGAGGTTCAGATAAGGGTTGGAATTCAGGCCCAGGGGGCCCAGGGAGGATAATTAGCTTGACTTGAAACTAAAGTTGCAGGACTAAAGACAGGACTGTAGAAAGTTCATCCATTTTGTAAGAAAAAGGTGATATTTAAATCTTTGCCACTCAGTAATGCCGAGCAAGGGGTTTGCAAAGAGAATACAATTATAGCTAGCTAGTCATAAAAAAAAGTGTCTCTTTGCTTCACAGGCCTAAGAAATGCAATAGATTCACCATGTTGGGTAGTGGGGTTTCCACATTTAATATGCACTTTTTTCTTTCTTTAAAACAAAACAAAACATGCCCACTCTCATGATCATTGGATCATTGAGTCATAACATCTGTT